GGAACTGAGAGATGGTGGTAATGTAGTGTTCTCATGGGCAAACATTTCTTCGTCATTGTCCCTTCCTGAGTGCCCAGAGAGCCTCATTTGAATAAACTGGGTTCGTTCTTCCTTCATGGAAGCAAGCTCGGATTTTTCTTTTCGTTGTTGAGCTTTTGCGCTGAAAAGAGGCAATCTATTCAGGTGAAAGGCGGAGGTCCATGGGGATGTGCTGGGTGAAACCCTTTCTGAAAAGAATGTATTATACTTGTCCTTTCCAATTTTTGTGATGTTTCTCACAGAGCTCACAGCATCACCTGTCATGATTCTAGACATGTCAAGAGAAATCAATTGCCCAGATTCTTCAAGGAAAGGATTTCCCCCCATCAGAGAATGCACTGATTAAGTCATTCACATCTTCTCTAAAAGTCTCTTGATATTTCGGATACTGTTCATGGTGTTTCCTGTGACTGTTTTGAGGTGTGTTTTCGAAGTTTTCAAAGATGCAAGCAAGTTCTGGACCAGTAATCATAAATCTTTCAAGGGCTACAGGATCCTCAGTCAGTCCATTTATTCCTCCATCACCCTTCAGAGACCCGATGAGCTGCTCATAAATTTGGTCCAAGGCAATGCTAGAAAATGGTCGACTTGTCTTTTGTCCAACGAATTTTATGAACTGTTGGATACATTTCTCGAAGTCCACACATATCTCCAATCTCGTAGATTAATGGGTAGATTGCGGGCATGTTGTATGTGATCAAGAGCAAACAGCCATGGCATGAGATGTTCTAACTAAAGTCTCTAGGTACAGATCAGACGATGCAGTCCGAATCGACTTTACAAACTGCTGACTCATCAGCAGCAGCTCAAGAGTCTGGTGCCAGTACAAGAATTGCCGTTTTAGGTCTCCCTGATACCTAATCCAAGCATGCAGTTCCAATGGCTCATATTCAATAGTTCTTGTCAGGTATTCACAATGGGCTTGTCTCAGTAAACTACACAAAGCAAGAGCTGTCTGTGACTTGGTGCATGTAGCAAGTGCGGGTCAGATGTGTCACCTTTATCATAGAATCAGCAAGTCCAACCGGACCTTCTACATCCAAAATTTTATTTTAATGGTTAAGGCATCCCCAAAAACATATTTTGACACCATTTTCATGAAAATCGAAGATGTGTATGATAATTTAGAGTTATTTTTTATTTTGCTTGATTTTTCAAAGGCGACCGTTTTTAATTTATGCAAATTAGGGTGAAATTATGCTGATAGAGCTTGTGGTTCAAGGTACTGTGTGCCAGATGCCATGTTCCTATTAAAACTTTAGGTGGGGGTGCAGTTAGGGAACTAGAAGGTGAACACCTCATGCTACGAGGAACATAATTTGATATCATTGAGACGACCATAAATTCAAGTGACCCTTTGGAAATGCAGAGAATATGTCAGATCAGTCGTTGTGAGCGGCGGGATATCCCTGTGAGCTCAATATCTGACAGAAACTGGCAGGGAATCGTAGATCCAGTCGAGCAGTCGAGCATGACCATATTATGGTAAAAAATGAGACTGGTTCTTTTCGCTATGTGATCATACACAGAAGGCATCATCACTGGAAAACATTCGAAATACTCGTAGATTTTATAGAGCGGTCAAAAATTCATTGCCCAACTTATTGTCAAATATCTCCTCAACTATCGAACATAAACTTTCCAGTTTTTGCACAGTGACTTGTATCAATTTGTCTTAACAGATCAAAGTTTTTGTAAAGCCCTGCTAGCTCTATTCTAGAAAATTCCTTAATAGATACTCATAAAAAATTCTTGTTGGTGGTTTCTACTGATTTTTAAATGTTTACAGCTGGGACGATATCACTTTTAAAAGCAAGTCTGTCATTTTTTTTCTAATCGCTAGATTATCTTTATTGAACACATGTTTTGAGAACTTTTAGTGCAAAAAAGTGTTCACTATAAAATTAATTTCTTGTAACTAGTTTTGCCACTAAAAGTTGTCATTGTTTGTTATAGTAGAGGTTTTACGGCGCTCGCAACTGCATAAGGTCGTATGAGCGCCTAAACCCATTTTATGCGTTTACAAAATGTGTGTGAGAAGCTGGAAGTGCTGTGAACAATTCTATTTTCCGCGTAAAGGAGGTTTGTTGTATTTTATATAAATTTGTGAAGAAAAGTTTTTAATCTAGCCTCAATTCTTGTGGAAAAATATGACTAAATTAAGACAAATTGAGACAAACTGCTCTGCAAAGAATGGGTGACATTGATTCACCCGTTATAAAATTTATTTGAAGATAAGTTGCGCCACGAATTTTTGACCGCACTATAGTAGATTTAACGTCCCTTGCAACTCTGTAAAGTTCTTCTATGAAGAGGGACCTCCGATTTTAACGTCCAACTCCGATAGGATGGATCTGGCCAAATTCGAATGAAGTGCCTTTACCATGGACACAACGCACAGACGGACCGGGCTGATGCTCCTACTCCCAAATCCTTAATCTCACGATTACAAGTCTGTTAGTCTAACCACTGAACAACCTACGCCATGCTTCAGATCCGGAGTGACAACCTTGTGATCACAAGAGAGAGTTCCCAGATAATCAAGCTTTGTTTTGTACTCTTCGGATGTCAAGGTAGCATCATATTGTGGGCTATTGTATGTGATTAGTATTCCTTTTTATGTTTTCATTCCGATGTCAAAAAGCTTATTTTTAAAAAATAGTTTGCTGAAATCAATTTCATTTTTTTTGTCTTCTGGCAAAAATTCTAGAACATCTTTGTATCATTGGCGCTCATAATATGACATTATGCAGTTGCGAGCGCAGCAAAACTCTTACCATGGCATCACAAAAAACCCTGAGAGAATGAACAGTGTTGCGAGTGACAATGGACACGTTATTCCACCCAGCAGAAAAGCAGAAACCTTACTGGTTGTGTGTGCAGTATTTAATCATCGAGCCAGATAAGTTAACTAAACGTTTTAAGTTAGTGGTTATTTTAGTATTTAAATCTCAATATGGAAAAGATTTGATCAATTATTAATGTTTATGCTGCTTCTCGAACGACTTTTCGAAGTGTAGTTGTTTTGAAGTACGAAATCTAAAATAAATAAATGAAATAAAAAATAATTTAAAAATCTCAAGCGAAAAAAATCATGGGGCATCTATCTTCTGGTGTTTAGAGGCAATAGAAGTAGAAGCAAATTTGAACCTGCTGAAAATCAAGTGTTATAGCTTGTTCACTTTTGTCCGACCCCTGTTAAAACAAGATAAAAATGAAATCGCTCTTTTTCATCTTCTCAGATTTTTGCATACGTGGGACATGTATTTACTAATGTCCTGTCTTGTTATGCGTATGCGTGAGTGCACCTAACCTTTGTAACATCTACTGCCACAGTAAACGACCAAGACAAATTTCTCCCTGCGAGATGAATTAAGATTGTCTTTGTAAAAAAAGTTGGATGACCAACATAATCTAAATGCCCATTCATAGGAAGTCACTGCAGACTTGTCCCTTCCTGAGTGCCCAGAGAGCCTCATTTGAATAAACTGGG